ATGTAAGTCGGATCCATGTAACCCGGGGACTGCCTGTACCTCATTGACCTTTCCTAAATTTACAGAAAGCAACATCAGCAAGATATACTCAACAAAAAAGAGTATGAGCTAGCTATTTAATCACAGCAAATTTAATCTGTTTTTTCTGATTAACTTTTTCCCCTATTTATCCCTTCTTTTCCTCTACACTTAACCCAGTCAATCTACAGTTTCTTTCTTCCTTAATCTCTCAGATAAGATGCAGTTATGCCTTTTTCTCCTGCATATCCTCTGTTGGCCATACTTGCACTCTTCTGAGTTATACCCTCTTTTACCCCTCTCATCCTTTTGTTTTGTTTACTTTGCTCCCACCTGTTCTTTCTGTCTTGTTCTCTGCTCAATCTGTCCTCAAGACCCCTAAATATACTGTTCTGGGACTCTTTTTCCAGATGTCTGTTCTAATGCTAGCAGCTAGCTGGGAGGAAATTTGCTGTCAGAAGGTTAATGCTATCAGCAGCACCCCAAGTAACATTATTTCCAACTTCCATATATGTACTATTTACACAAGTACCTTACAAAATGAATAAACAAATGTAAGATGTATTGTTAGGACCCAATCTGCTTTATTTTCCATTAGAATCACTGGACTGGAAGGGAACACATGTAGTGTCCTGGTTCAGTTCCTTGCACTCCTGGCAGGACTAAGTATTACTTAGACCAGTGTTTCTCAAACTGTGCTCCGCACATCTTGCACTGTGCACTGACATCTCCAGGGGCTCCGCAAGCTTGACAAACTGGAAACATCGATAGGTACAACGCATACAATCAGTGGACCGCTGCGGCTCCGCATAAGTTTTTAAGCATGTAAAGGGCTCCGGAGCCCAAAAAGTTTGAGAACCGCTGATTTAGACCATCCCTGACAGGTGTCTGGCTAACCTGCTTTAAAAAAATATCTCGTGGCTGAGATTTCACAACCTTCCTAGGGAATTTATTCCAGTGCTTAACTCCAAGTCTTTATACTGCTAAACTCAAACGCAGTTAAGTATGCACATGCATCCTCAGAAGAATTTTTGTGCATAAAAATATGCAAAGATTACATGGTAATTTAAACTGACTGAATATAATCCAAGATTCAATCAATGTGCAGCAGACTAAGATAAATACTACATTTCACCTTTCAATGAACAAGATAAAGCTAATATGAAAATTCACTTTTGCTATATATAGCATACATGCATTTCAGGTCCTTCTCTCTAGTTTGAATAAAACAATAATATTTACACAATACCAATAGTACATTAATTATTTCCACAATGTAACTGCTGTTTTCCTGTTACACATATATATTCCTTAATATGAAAAAAATTATATTGTACAGCAAAAAAGAACCATGGGTCAGGTACAGTTCTCAGCTAAAATAAATCACAAGCAAAGTAACTCCTTGGAAATCAGTTATTCTGGATTTTCACCAATAAGATCAGAACCTGGTTCTATCTCTCTAAAGTCAAATAATTAGTTTAGGCTCCTTAAATTTGAAGATGAGAGAAGCCAGTCAAGCTACTGCTTATTATTTGATCATGTTCAAATATTCCAGCAAAAATGCCTTGAAGTAGGTAACAAACTACCTTTTTGTCTTAAAAATGGTGCAGTCTGTTAGCAAGCCTACTTAAATATCTTGATCACCCATTTTACTACATGCTATGATGTCACCTGTTGGGAAATACATGAACTAGATGAAAGCTGAGCATCGTGATTGTTTGGAATCTTCTATAAAATCGTAGCGCTAAGTTTATTTGCATATGAGACTTACCCAGCATTGCTTGGATCCCTAGGGCAGGGAGCTGAAGGTATAGGGGGTGCAGAGTCAGAGCAGGAATTTGGGGGTGCAGGAATTAGGGCAGAGAGTGGGGGCAGAAAAGCTCCCTGTGACCATTCTGCAGGCAGCATTGATTCCTGGGACCAGGCCGCCGGCAGCAGGGGCCATGCTGTCCAGCCAGCAGCTGCTCCGCAGCTCCCCAGGGCTGTAGGAGTGACAAGGGCTCGCTTGCTTGTTGGCCCCCTGTGCTTATTCTGGAGTATAACTCTTCCTGCCATCCCTTTCCATTTGATGACAATCATATTCCATGCACTTCCCACTGTCCTGGCACAACCAAACCCTGACCTTGCTTTTCAGTGAGGATAAGAGGAAGCTGCGTACCAAGTATGGTGGTCTTAACTTTTCCTGTTTAGGAGGAGTTTTTGAACAAACAGGTTCACAGACAGACAGACAAACTCTAAGATATATAGCAGATCAGGCCATCAATGTATTTTGAACAAATCAATAGACAGTCCCTCATCTGAACATCTTACAATCTAACTGACAAACTCCAGAACCGTGGTGTCCAACACACCAGCCACTAGCCACATGTAGCCATCTGGCTGATTAAGCGTGGCTTGAACAACATGGCTAGTTCACTATAGCAGTAGCCATTATTGGTCTGGGCGCAAAGGGGGAAGCGCACAAATTTTCCACCACCTTGTCCCCACCCTGCAGGGAGCATGCAGCGCTTAGAAGCACTGCGTGCTCCCCCGCCCCCAGGCCAATTGGCCTGGGGGCAGAAGGGGAAGCGTGCAAAGTCTCCTCCCATCAACAGGGGCATGGGCACTTAAGGGGAAACTCGAGGGGAGAGGGGGGGCAAAGACTTCATGCACTCCCCCACCACCAGACCAATCATGGTCTGTGGATGGGGAAGCAGGTAAGTATCCTGCCCCCACCCTTCCGCTTGAGGCCCCTCCCTTCTGGTGCAGCCTGGGGCCACTTCTAACATTTCTGAAGTTTCCGCCAGTAAAAAATTATTGCCCCCTCGCCCCCCGCCTTCGGGAATATAGTTATGTTCCTGCCTATACAGGCAGTCCCCGACTTACGCGGATCCAACTTACGTCGGATCCGCAGTTACGAACGCGGCTTTTCTCACCCCGGAGGACACGGACTGTGGGACCTCGCGGTCCCGCCGTCCGTGTACTCTGGGGCGAGAAAAGCTGCTCCACGGCTCCCCCGTCTGCAGAACAGGAAGACCTGGAGCAAAACCCTCGG